AAATGAAGGGAGAAGAGAGGAAGTAGGAGAAGATATTACAGTAGAAAATAAACGAGATGGACAGGGAGAGCAAAAAAGGAAAGGAGGAAGGAGGGGGAGGAACAGGAAGGAGAGCATAAAAACAAATGGAGGAGGAATAAGTGATTATAAAAAAAACGAGAAAAGGAAGAAAAAAAAAACACCTCCGAATTTTCGAAATAAAAAATGATGAAAAAGACGAAAGATTTTTCAACCTAGAGAAGGAAAAGGCGAAGGAGGAAGAAGGAGAAAAGAAAAAATTTATAGAAAGTGCGAGAAGGAAGTGGGCGGGAAGACCAAGGAGGGGTGGAGGGGGGGGCGGGTCGTTCACGAATCAATCACAAGGGTCGTTAAAGTAAGGTNTCAGCATAAAAAGACGCAGCGGGTTTATACTATACTTATACATATATAATAGACATTATTATAAATATTTATCTTTATATTATATATGTATAGTTTAGTATGGTATGATGTATGTAATGTATGTATTCAATAACATATTACGTATCTTATTTATGTATCTCACCACGAGTGCGCCGGATTATATACTTATATATATATATATATAATTATTTAAGTATTATATTATTTTTGTGGGTGGTGTGTGTGTGTGTTGTGTGTGTGTGTTGTGTATGTGTGTGTGTGTGTGTGTGTGTGGTGTGTGTGTTGTGTGTGTGGAGTTTTGTGGGAGAGAGAGAGAGAGACGGGAGAGGGAGAGAGAGAGAGAGAGAGAGAGAGAGAGAGAGAGAGAGCACGAATACGACTAAAACGTGCGAGTGACAATGGCCAGACAGCCAACCGAAAGTGGCCTGCGAGAGTAATTGCTGGCCTCCTCCTCCAGATGACGAGTATAAGGGATCCGAGAACATGCTTGTGCAGGAACGAGAGGTCACGCTCACGATCCGGTGCCAGTTTGACCTCGACCAACAGCGTTGTGCCATTGTTTTCAAGATTCAAGATCTTTCCGCTGATTTCTTTAGCTTTGTCATGGTAGACATTGTGACTTGATTGTGCAATGTTTGATTGATAGTGGGCTTTGCTCTACCTTAGAAAGCATTGGCACTATGACCCCCATTGAGTGACACATTTCCATCCAGGAGGATCCAGGGGTGATGTACCTGGGCAATCGGCGCCTGCTGGAGTACTACGTAGTGGGGGAGACCTTCTCCATCCTCGCCCAGGACGGCACGAGCTACCTCAGGGTGAGAGGACTTGGCTGAGGAACCCCACAAACACACACACACCCATGGAATATACATACAAGTACTCATACTTTCATACACACGCACACAATTTTTTAAATGCAAATATAAACATCTATATACATATGCATGTACACACACATATATTTCTGTGTATATATGTGTGTGTGTGTGTGTGTGATGATATTTCGATACATCTTATTTAAGACTGACAATCGCAATTAGCATATTCTAAATCCCCACAGATTGAACTAAAATTCAGGAACCTTTACGGGTTCTACCTGAGTAACACGTTCCTGCCAACCTTCATGTTGGTGTTCATTTGCTGCACGACCCTCTGCTTCGACATCAACGACTTTCAGGTAAGCGACCGGCAGACTATCACCAAATAGCACTCGTATGGGGTATAGAATAGTTGGTAAACCTATAAAACAAGAGAAAACAGAAATATATTTCAATATCTCGACTTCCAAGCCGTACTTTTCCTCGCCGTGGCAGGACCGCATCATGGTCTCGCTGACGTCACTTCTAGTGATGGCCACCATCTTCGTCCAGACGAGCGAGAACATCATCAAGACATCGTACCTTAAGTTCATCGATCTCTGGTTCGTGGCAATGATGAGCGAGGATTTCTTCATCATCCTGGGGCTGGTGGTGGTGGAGGTGCTGCGCCTGCGTGAGGAGAAGCACGGCCTGGGGCTGGGCCCGGCGCGGGAGATCCTGCGGGCGGCCGCGGTCAACAGAATCTTCCTTTTGCTCTTCTTCGCCTCGCTCCTCGTGATGCTTTGGTAACACTGCCTCCACTCAGATTTTAACTTTAAAGGGTATCCCAAGAAACCCCACAAATAATTAATTACATGGTAGCTTGGCACTGCGGTCAAGGCAGGACATGAGGTGGCTAGGGTTTCTCTGTTAGTTTCGGAAACGTTATTTTAACTTGGTCGGCTCAAGAAGAATAATTCTGGTTTATTACAAATGAGCCCTCAACATTACAAAACAAAAGGAAATTAATTCTAATATCCACAGGAAATAACAAAAGAATTAACCTCTGGTTACAGATATAATGCAGAACTTTAACCTTCATTGGCCTTGGTCAGAGGACCACTATAAGGCATTACTACACCAATATTCTCCTTAAAATGACATCCCTACAGGAACAACAAATAACAATTAAAATAAAAGACTTTGACTGGAAATGATTGTCTGGACTGGGGGGTAAACTTATCACTGCAACACACTATGAAATATAAACCAAAAGAAAGATATGGACCAACCTCATAAATAATCCTCATTACACTGTGAACCTCACACCATTAGGGCGACTGTCGTCTGCGACGAGTGCACTGTCGTCTGCGACGAGTGCTCGGTGGTTTACAAGCAGCATTTGCACTTGCTTGGTAGGTCCCGGTGGAAGTTCACAAGATGGCGGGCGTGGGTGTCGTCGGTTGATGGCTGCCTCACTCCAAAACCGCTTCAGACCTGCTTGGATGGGAGCCATTGGCTGTCTGATTATTTCATTACATACTACAGGGATTCCCCTACCAAACAAGATATTGTAAGCTCCTCCACTCTCTACCCCCCCTAAAAAAAAAAATATATATATATATATATATATATCAAAATGGTGATATATATATATATATATATATATATATATACATCACCATCAAAATATATATATATATTATATCAAAATGGTGATATATATATATATATATATATATATATATATATATATATATATATATATATATATATATATATATATTATATGGGACGGGAGCCAAACCTTCTGAAGTGAACCAATGCTCCCGCCCGAGATACAGGATTGGAGACAGCATTCTCAAACTTTATCCCCCTTCCTATGCAAAGCATTCAGTCCAACAATCATTGCCAAAAAAAACATAAACCTAATAACCTATCTACAAGTTACTAAACACTAAATTTTATTATATTCAAAATAGTTGAAATATTTTAGTGACCCTAACGGTCCCGTGATTCTAGAAGCGTATCGAAAAAAACGTATTTGAATTTCAATGTCAAATCAAAGATTTTGACACACACACACAGATATATATATATATATATATATATATATATATATATATATATATATATAATATATTTGTAAAATATATTCGTATGAACCAAAAACATATATTAGTGTAACAGTGATAGAAGGAATAACTAGTAGTAATGTCACAGTAGCAATGGTAATTCATATCAAAAGTAGTGTTAGTATCATAGTAATAATAGTGGTTTAGTGCTGATAGTAGTATAGTGAAACAATTATGTCGATAGTAGTGATGGGAGTAGCAAAAACATTCAAAATGATTTTGAAATTATTAATGACAATGTTGAAGATTATTGCTATTGCTACTACTACTAGTACTGCATCTGCCGCTGCTGCTGTACTAGTACTAAGGCTACTACTGCTGCTGCTACTTCTACCATTATTTTCATAATGGCAATGTTTACGTCACTGTAACTAGCTAATTAGGATCTTTTACGGATTCACATAACCTAATTTAGTAAGACTATGGCGGACAAGTGAATCATTCATAGCAGGAAAAGGAGATAAATATGTGAGTAACCCTAGCCCCAATCACGATTTTTTTATCTAAATTTGGGAAGCAGTGCATGGCAAACTCCTATAATGTATTTGCTTCTTCAATTGCCATGTCAGAAACATTATAAAAAACATTCAGTGACATACCTTGGGAGGGACCGGGTCAAGGAGGGCTAGGGGACCCCCTCGATACATACATCTTACACAGCTGCTGCTGCTGTTGCTGCTGCTGCTGCTGCTGCTGCTGCTGCTACTACTACTACTACTACTACTACTACTTCTACTACTACTACTACTACTACTACTACTACTACAACTACTAATACTAATACTACTAGTTCTTCTACTACTACCACTACTACTACTACTTCTACTACTACTACTACTACTAATAATACTAATACTAATACTACTAGTACTTCTACTACTACCACTACTACTACTACAGCAACAACAACTACTACTACTACTACTGCTACCACACACACACGCGCGCGCGCTAAATGTCAACAAACACAAGGCATTGATTGTAGACATTTTTTGTATACTAGGAGTGTCTGATACTTTCACTTTTTCATTACAATTTATTTACATGCAACTTGGTGAAAATGATACTAATATTAATAATCATGGTGATAATGATAACGATACTGATAGTGATAATGATAGTGATAATGATTATGATGATGATGATATTGAAAATAACAATGATAATGATAATCAGCATCATCATCATCATGATAACTATATCAAGAACAAATAATGATAATAATAGTGATAATAATAATGATGATGATTGATAATGTTAATAATAATGATAACAATAATGATGATAATAGTAATGGCAATGGCAATAAAGATAATAATAATAATAATAATAATGACAATAATAGGTCATAATGATAATGGTATTACTATTATTATTATCATTATTCATAATTATGACAATAATAATGGTGATAATAATGTTATTATTATTATTATTCATTATTATGCATCATGCTAATAATAACAATAATAATGATAATAATATCAATATTAGTAATGATGAGGATACAGTTGACAATAGCAATGATGAGGATAGTAATAACGAAACTGATCATGATAACAGTAATAATGATCATAACATTTTATGGTAATAATATAATAAAAACAAAGATATATTAATGCCAGTGACAACGGTAACAATAAAGGCAAATCAAAAACAAGAA